AAATTCAGAAGAACTAAATTCATTTCCCAGCTGTGCCAATGGCTCCCCACATAACATTTCAATCCTCACTTCCCATATGGAGCTTCACCACTTACACAAGCTTAAATCTTAGTCTTTGACTCCGAATCCTAGGTTTTAGATCTGCATGACTCATATCAGTCTGATTAGTTATTGTATATGAAATTCAGGTCAACAGGAAGACACTGAAGTATAGGCATCTGAACTCCCACTAGAGGCAAAAACTCAAGGTCCAGAAACAAAAATACTGACTCAGCTTGTTCTGAAGTGCCCATCTACTGGCTGGTCCCTGTGGGCTCTCCAAACCCCACGCACTGCACCAGCACTGATCTCCACTAAGGACAACGGAGAACTCAATTTTCTAGCCATCGCAGCCTTGCACTGTGCCCTTTCCTCAGATTCATTCACAGTCATGACCACGCTGATGCTGTGACAACATGAAGCCACCCATCATGTCAAACCTGCAAACATACCACAACCTTGCGCCAAACATGTTTTCACAGAAAGCTTAACTAACTCAAACAACTTCTCCCAGCAAACTTACAACACACTAATACTCACTGACAGACAGGACTCTACTCTGTGGAAATACTGCCTCTGGCACCCTGGTGCTATAGAACACAGGAAAATCTTTTTTACTGCCGATAAAGGAGTGGTTTGGGATGTGAAGGTGCTATGATACATTAAATCTGGACTGCGTATATACAGAAGGATCAAGATCTTTATTTACCAAGTGTCAATCGTTATCAGACAAGCTAACCTGAACGTTTGTCTTCTACCTGAAAGAGGAAGATACTTCTGGAATAGAATAATCTTCTCCAGAAAAATGAATATAAGCACAGTCCAGATTTAATGTACTGCAAAATCTTAATTTTCTGAAGGATTCTTGTATCCATAGTCCTTTTCAAAATTTAATACAGATTTTCTTATATGTTCTACAACAACAGCACACCAGAGATGATATTTCCACGGCGAAGCTCTAACACAATATTGGCTGTATGATCTGGAATATGAACCTAAGTATGCACAACTATTTAAAACACAAGTTCTACAGGAAGCCGGAAGGGTCTTTTAAAAATACTCCTGCATTGCAATGAAAATTCAGTGTAAGTCAGCTAAGCTTTATCCTTCTTATACCTGTTATCTTAAAAATGCTAGAATTTCTAATGCAACACGGCAAGTTCATATTATTCTTATTAGATATTACCAGGCATTGAGAAGTTTTTACATCACAATAAGTAGAGTAACAGAAAACACTCTTCCACTAAACTATCATTGCATCAGATATGACAGTTTACATGAACATCCCACAGATTACCCAGAAGAACTGGGCTGGTTTTGCAATGGTTTGCCACACATCCGTGCGGAAACACTGTTTTAACACGAGATTACATGGCATACAGCCATGAATCAAAAAACCCCAATGGTGCATTCAGTATGCGCTGAGTTAACTGGTACAAAACACTGTTGCAGGTGTTTCGTACCAGCACAAATGCTGTGCCACACTGCCACGTCTCATTTGCTGTTTGCCACTGTTTATGAAGAGGTGGCTGCTTCCCTCCATAAAATAACTAACAGTAATAGAATGAGGCAAATATTTACACAGGTAATCCAGTATGAAACACTGCATCTAAAAGCAAGCAAATTTTTTTGGACGGTGCCTTTCTTCCTTTATAGAGCTCTTTGCTTTGTCAATATGCAGAACAAAATAAGTCTGTCAGGAAACTCTGCATTTGTTATCAGCTCACTCTCCTTAGATGGCAGGACTGTAAATATTTTTCTTCATTATCACCCTGACAGTAAATAACTTTGCAGGTGTGTAGGAATGCCATGATTTCACAATTTTTGGCCTACCTTAAAGAAAATGAGTAATAGAGAAACCCATGCACCAGGAAACGAAGGAGCGGAACTAGTGAACTAAGGTCTATCAACCAGGGTTCAAGATCACTTGGGTTGGATGACAGTTGATATATTTGCACTACAGTTCATCTGTTTTCTTATCTGGGAAAGTGTTCTGTAATAAATCATAATTTATTGCATGTTTTGCAACCTTGTCAAAGGGCACACCTAAGATTTTTCCTTCAGTAATAAATTCCACCCAACTGTACAGGAATTCACTTGACAATCTGGACATAGCTAAAATATTTTGGTATTTTCTAACATCAGCACTTTTGATCTAGCACCAACAACTCATCTGGTTTACACAACACCACATTTACTTTCTTCTAAATTTCATTATGCTTAAAAACTAACAGGAGATTTCAAAGTAATTCTCCAATGACAATCACCAGTGAGCAAAAAACCCCAAGGCTGTTGGACAAGGACCCCTATTCCCAACCCATAACTGCTTCTCATCCTCTCTTTTCACTTGCCTTTTTCCCCTTTGGGAGTGTTTATCTCTGAATAGGAACAAAGCAACAGAATGTTGTGATCAACCTCAGCAATACTTTTTGGTGTACACAGCTAAATTGCTCGTGAGGCTGGTCATATGTTCCTGCCTATTATCTGTTAAAAAGACAGCAGAAACAAAACTTTAGTACAGCCCTAAGCCTTCCATATTATACAGAGCAACCAATTGGCAAACTCCAAGCATATATTTATGAAGATGAATGGTTACTGCCAGGGTCCTTCAAATTTTTCTGAGAGGTTGTTTGGTTTTTTTTTTTTTTAATTAGTGATTTATCAAAAATAGGTAGAGAATAACCAAATCATTACAGCTTTAAGTTCAGCATTATAAGATATCATTTGTATGCAGTATCACATGTTAAAATTGCATCTCAGTATGCCAGTAAGTGAAAGGCTTTCTAGGATTAGTGGTGGCATGCCTGTTTTCCTTTCTAAAACCACGGTTCAGGGTGAAAGAGAATTAATTTTATGATATAAGCAGAAAGTTTCCAAAAGTAATCGCTGCTTTGCTATGAAGTTCACCATCTTGACCTACTCTGAATATACCTGGACAGACACTTGAGATAGGTCTGCTTGTTTTCCTCATATGAAACTCTTCTAAACACAATGAACAAACCACTGCCTTTAAAATACTTAAACCACCATATTTCTCTGCTAACAAATACTATGTCTGTTTGCAGTTACAAGAAAACCTAAAATCCCAAGCAATATGACTTGAAGAGAATTGCTCACCATTGTGTTTATGCTACTGGCCAAAGAACCCACATCAATGATGGTTAAAAAACGTTTAGGAGCATTAGATTCAAGCATTAACATTGTCCTATGAATTGTCTATGATGCTATTGTTGTAAGCCTGACCTCATTTTGAAATGCTAAATATGCATTAGTGCAAAGATTTTTTTTGTTCACGTGTTTCTTCTTGTCATTATTTTTCCTTTTCTGTTTAATACTGTTTCCTACTCATATTAGCAAAGTGACTGAAATTAACTTGGCTGCATTACAAATAAATCTTATCCACATACCACTTCATTAAAAATCTGCATGTGTACTATTATAGTTGGAGCAACCAATTAATATGTATGAACTGCTAAGACTGAAAAACACTTATTTCTCTAACGTTGCTTTCACAGACAACTGTCTGAAACCCACACCTTCAAAACGGAAAATTTCAGTATTCACTGTCTTTCAGTGTTTCAGGCTGGAAAACTGGAAAGAAAATCCCTTCTAGGTTTTTAACTTAATGACCTAAGTTTTGAAAGGGAAAGAACTCTTTCTGTTAGTCATATATTAAAAAAAAAAAAGTTATTTTGAGAGTCTCCATGACCATCAAGGTCATAAAGTCCTTCTAAGGATTTATATTCAGCTTTGTATAATATTAGAAGTTGTGTGTCAGCAGTGAAGCCATGTATCCTTATCACCTATAGATTTTTGGCAAACACAAGAAAACTTCTTTTATTACAGATTCTTGTGTCCTGTTCTTTGACCACTTGCAGCTCAGTAAACTCTGCTCTGCCCCAGGTTTCCCACAGGCTTGAATCAAAGTGCGTTCAGGTCTCCTTCTTCCTCCCTGTGTCTCAAGCCTTTCCACAGTACCTTTAATTCCCTTCTGTATTTCCTGTTCAATACCCCCAAGTCACTTGGACACTCGCTGCTAGCTGGGCAGAGCATCCCAGGCTACGAACGGCTTTTGCAAGACAACATGTTCCCCTGGTTAATATGTGCAGACTGCAGCAAACTGATTCAGCAGATGTACTAACAGAGTATTTGTCCTCTGAGTGATGATCCTCTCTGAAACTTGGAGAACTTTCTAAAGCAAAAAAATTCTTGGGAAAGTTGTAAAAGCCAAATTTTTGGAGAAAAAACATATATAATTTTAAAAGATTACTGTAACGTGGAAATTACAGAAGATGATAGAAAGACAGATAAAAGAAGCTTAAGGAATGGGGCAGAGCTAATGAGGCCAGAAAACCAGAAAGAAAGGAGGACAACAACCTACGCACTTTTTATTTGTGTGTGGGTCCTATCTTCTCCTCAGAAAGCATGCTTTTAGAAGTACTTTTTTAAAAACATGCATACAATTTTGATTTGTTCTTAATTAGGTTTTGTATAAACCAGAGGAGATTTGAAACCAGAAACCTAGAGCTGAGCTCAATGCTTCATTACAGCCATTCATGTCACTCTCATCACTGCCTCTTCCAAGTAAAAAGGTCACAGAGTACTTACTGGTGAAGTGGATAGATGCGTAACAGGGCCACAAATGGTATGAACACTATTATATTACAGTCCTACTATTTTCTGTGGAATGTAAGTAATTGAGGAACTACATACTGATCAGACATGCAAATTATGCAGAGATGTCATCATCAAGTCACCAGATTTCTAAATCATCAGCCTCACTTCACTGGTGTAAAGAGTTGTGGTGCCTGTGAGACTCCATACGCACAACATTTATAAATTGGCTTCTGCTGATTTATGTCAGATAAAGGATCTTATCCCAGTGATTTGCAAATTACATCTTTAAGGGGACCTGCAAGTTTCTTTTCCTTCACAAATACAACGATGAGAAAACAACTTACGTTCAACTTGATCAAACATTACTGAGAACAAGAAATCTCTTGGTGTCATGTAATATTCTCCTTCATATTCCAATGATGCAAAATGCATGAAGCGATGCTTCCGAAGAGACAGTCTTTCGTCCCTTTCTGCATTAATGATGTCTTCCTTCTGAAACAGAAAAAAAAAATCCATGCAAAAAGATGGTTGCATTTGTAGACCAACTCTGTAATTAGAAAGAATCCTATACCCAGATCTTGATTAACCTCAATATTTTGTGGGTAGCCACAAGAAGAGACTACCAGGAATCAAAGCTTTTATGGCACAGTCTTAATGAATGTCTTGCTTATATGACATTCGAAGTATTTTTTGGCTTCACTGAGAGCATGCCTTAACAACACAGCTGAGCCAAATTAATGGCTTGCTGTCACCAAAGGCTGCCCTTGCTTCCCACTCTCCTGCTCTTGGCCATATGGTCCTGCACCTCCTCATATGCCAGCTCTGCTACTTGTTGGACCCTTGCTGAGCTAAGTTCAGCTCGCTAACTCAACAAAATCTAAACTGACCAAACAGCAAATAGTATTTTGGCAGGTTAGTGACTGGCTCATCAAAGGTTGAAACGAGCTCTGCATCCGCGCAAATGACCCACTCCTGAAGTTACGTATCAAGTTGTGGACCAACTCCTAAGATGGGAGAATAACGATGCTCTAGTTTTAAGTATGGGCCTATCTTTCAGAGAAGTTAGAAAAGCAATGAAAACACCAACAAAAGAGTCAGACATGGTATCACCAAACCCAAAGATTCAGCTAGTCAAGCAAACAAAAAACTTCTGACTCCCCCCCCGCCCTTAAATATTGACAGACTCATGACTGAAATCATACAAGTTGACAACACTCTGATGAGTAGTAACAGCACTTACTGGCAGCAAGAGAGGACACAGACACAGTGAAACAGAGACGTTTACATTTTAGGATTTCAGAGATAGTAAGTGACAACAGGAAAATGAGACACTCTAAAATTCAGAACACACTGTGTGTGTTTGAACATTAACCACGGAACAATTTTTCCACCAGCAGCATCACTCAATTTTAGGACTGTTCAAAGATGTGAGAAAGTGAAGGAAAAGCAAGAAAATCCAAGGCTAAGTACCAAGATCCCAACTTGAACATACTTGAAACAAGTCAGTAAGCAGCAAGACGAATCTGCAGCAGGGTCAGTGCCCATGGCATTACTCAGCGGGTGATGCAGATGAGTGGGTACCACCTAGGGCATGGTCTACCAAGGTGCTGCATCACATCTTCCAGCAAACAATCACTATTTGTTTATGCAGTTTTCAGTTTCTGGATCATTCCTATGGACTGCTTGGCATGTGAGCAGTACAGTATAGCGCTGGTGTAAGCTGCATTTTGCTAATTGGCTTACTCCTGAGACAGGGCAGTGTAAACGGCTCCTGGTTACACTCAGACCAGCTGCAGGTGCAGCAAAGGTCTCACCAGTTGGTGTTAAAACACAAGGTCTGCTGTGCTGAGTGTGTTCATGGGGCCAACTGTGGGACACAGACAGGCAGACAGTATGAGAATGGAGGAGGGGGGAGACCAGCGGGAACACCTCGCTTGGTTTTGCTGAAGCCAGCACTGGTTATAGCGACAGGCAAGGTAACAGGCACCCAGTTGCATGGGAGGTTGTTAGGAAAACCTGGAACGTTCACGGATAATTGCAAATTGCGTAGCAGGCAATGGGGTGCCTGTGTGTTTGTGTGCACACATCCAGGGAGTGGGCGAGCGAGAAGCGAATGGGACTCTGAACCACTTAAAAGCTGTGATCAGATTTCTGACACCTTAGTTTTAACTTGCTGTTCCTCCAGGATGGGGACTGCTAATTCAGTCTCTGCTGAGTTCAAACAATTGCAGAAACGAGCGCTAGCAGTTACATTTCCTCCACCCAGCTGACAACATGCCAGGACTTTGGTATGAAGTGGCAAAGACAGCAGGGGAGCTAGCTGATACGATGAACATACAAGCTGTTTTGAGACGATAGCTTCTAGCTCTCAGACAGGGCTCTGAAGTTAAAATAAAAAACATTAGGTTTAGTGTCAGGCTTATGAGGTAGAAGAAAGAGATGGAGGACTGATATTGATACAGGCAGCTCCAAATAACATGACCCAGTGTGGTCTGACAGTAATGACCAACTCCTTCGAAGTGAAGCACACTGGGAACAGGAGGATGGACCTCAAGCCAATAACCAGTCCATCGAAGAAAGCGTGAAAAAAACAGTTCAGTGGACGATGAGACATCAGAAAGAGGATGAAACGCTTCAACGTTGTGTCATTGGGTTTCCGTTTCCTCTACCCACCATGGTCCCTAACTGGATATAGGGACCATATGTTTGTACAATTTGGGGATCTCAAGACAAGGGGTATAACTGGCAAATGTATAGCCGTAGCTTGGATATAATATATATGATGGTAATAATTGTATTATACTTAATTATAGTTGTAAATAGAAGGCTGCAACTTGCCATTTAATCCCATGCCTTGCACCTCTGTATTAGCATTAAGCACTTGTTAAAATACTTCACTGAATGATACAAGCACCTTGTTATAGTCAATTTTAGTTTCCCCTTGTAGCATGTTTGCTTCCCTCAAACCTCGGGTTTTGATGAAGGCAGCGGGGAGGGGACCAACAAGAAAACCCCTAAATACTCATAATTTAGAATTAAAACAGTTATATTCTGATATGCAAGGAGAATGAGGGCTACTTCTAAGTATCTGAAGCCAAGGTTTCCTTTGTTTTAGATACGACCATTTCGTATCAATATCACTGCTTTAAGCTTCTTACATGCCATGGAGCTTCATCACGGTCTACAAGACAAGCTGCACTGCTGCTGTTCTGTAATTCAGATCTGTATGTTCTGGAAAACACTGTTTAAAAATAAATCTAATATAATGAGAACTTTAGCGTTATTCTTTTTAAAACTTTGGGGGACAAATGACTCTGTAATTCCGTAGTTAACAAGATTCAACAAACATTGCAGATATCAAATGTATAGTTCATAGTTGCTGGGTATTAACATGCAGCATTCTTATTAAAATCATCTCCTTCACATAATAACATGAGCAATTTTTGCCTGATGGCAAATTAAAAAAAAAATGGAAAATTGCTTCACAGTTGTTCTATAACTAAAATTATGGAATGAAAAGCAATCTTTCTGCACAAATACAAACCAAAGAAGTTTAGACAAGAAGAGCTAATCCTACTTCTTCAAACCAACTGGATTTTCAAGTTTCTTAAGTCTTGCAGTATTTGTCTGAATTCTGTCTAAAGCTAAACTTGTTAGTGATATCACAGCATTGAATTTCAGCAATCCACAATTTTAACTGAAATAGATAGGTACAAGTTCACATATTAACTCTGAAGAGTGCCTTGTATTTGGAAGAGAATGTATTCCCATCCGAATTACAATAATGCGTGACTAGAGATTCATTGACTCCCTTTCTTTTCAGGAAACAAGCATCCCTGATTTGCAAAACAGCCTTGGGAACATAGGTCATTTCTTATGAAAGTCAACTTCAAAAACTAGCACAAATGAGATAAGCAAACCTTATGGGATGAAATGCATCAACTGTGCCACCTCCTACTTTGTTTTCAAAGCTTGTGCAAAACTCCTGACATCCTGTCACTATATGAGAAGCTCAGCATCTGCTAAAAGCACTCAGACCCCTCTGGACACCAGCACGAGCTCAGCACGAGCTACGCTAGAGCTCAACTGCTCATGTGTAACTGCTTACTACTTCTGAACAGCATGTGGCCCTCAGACTGAAAATTCATGGCAGTAAAACAATTTATACCAGCTACAAAGCTGACCCGCCACCTTTATGATGACAAGGTATCTTTATTTCTGCTTTCCCCCCACGTTTTAGTACAGTTACTGTGACAGTCTCTACAGCGTACTCCAAGTATGTTAAAGGAAAAAAAAAAAGACTGTGCAACAATCAGGAGTGCAGAAGCATAATACGAAAGCAAAATGTTTGCAATTATGTCATATCCCATTATTTTGCACTTTAATTTATGGAGGAGCACAAGGCAGACCTCAGTGAAGGTCTGGGAGAGAAACATGTACAGAAAAAATAAAAAATATTTCAAAAACGCTGAAGAAGTTTTACCCCCTCTACAGCTATGAGAATAAAGACTGACGTTTTCACAAGTGACTCTGCAATCTGCACAAAACCTAAGAAGAAAATAACCTGCAAGTTTTTTTTAAGATCCTTTTTACTACAGAACATCTGGAAGCTGATGGAACCGGGCGTTTTCAACCGGGAGAAGAGAAAGCTTCAGGGGGACCTAATAGCAACCCCCCAGCGCCTATGCAGAAGTTCTCAAGATGACTGAGCTGGGCTTTCCAGTGGAGCTTCATACAGCTGAACCATCAGCACCTCCATTAAACGCGGTTAATCCAGGCCCCCTTTATAACAAGTGGCAAGAATGGCAATTCTGCAGTGCAATTACAGGGACTTTTTTTAGCTGTCTGGACAGACAGTTCAGAAGATGTAGGGAGGGATCAAACACCACAAAAAAAGTTGATCTTCCTTCCCACCAAACACATTTGCACAATTTCATTGCATAAGAGACTGAAAATCTGGGCAAAGGTATCGGAAGGTGGAAGCTCAGAGGAGAAGAGGTGGCAGCAGGGGTGTTACACACTTCAGCTAGAATAGAAAGTGTGTAAGGAACATGGAGATTTTTATTGTCCAGAGTGAAGGAACAGTGGTCGCATACCCAAATAGCACATCATGATGATGCAAGGCCTTTTAATTGCCATCTTTCTCACAGTGTTTTCCAAAACCAACAATAATGTTCAAATTGGTTTAATATCAATTAAGGACTTGAACCTGCTGCAGTTCACAGGAGACACTAGAAATTCACAATCAAGTTGTAACGACATTGAAAAAATGATGACTCTTCAGGTGTAAGCTATATAATTTACAATTTGTCAAAAATATTCAATACAATTATTACCGCAATTTTAATTAAATTGAACGTAGCTGGATGTTTGCCCTTTAAAGATCAGTACTGATGATTTTATTCTTACTGTTCTTAATTTCTTCCTTAAACATACTGCCAGCATTTAATTAAGCTTTGAGGGACGTCTTTCTCATATTTTGGTCATCACACTTTCATTAGCCACACTGCCAACTA